AAAAAAAAAAAAAAAAAAAAAAAGTCAGATCAGATTTATGGCCACTTAAAGGCTGGTAACACGTGTAATGTACAAATAAGAAAATAGTTTTTAGGTTTCTTTTAAATAACCATATGGATTAAATATTGGTCCACAGTGCTTGTTCTTTAAATCCTTTTAAAACTCTTAAAATTTTTGACTGAAAGAATTTTCTTTGTAACAGGTTTTATATGATAGATGTGGGTATGAAAATGTTTTCTTAGCCAGTATCTTTCCTTCATTTTGTAGGTATGCCTGGACTGTTGCCCAGTGTAGGATCTGTGCGAGTCATATTGGATGGAAATTTACAGCCACCAAGAAAGACATGTCACCTCAAAAATTCTGGGGTTTAACTCGATCTGCTCTGTTACCCACAATCCCAGACACTGATGATGAAATAAGCCCAGACAAAGTCATACTTTGCTTGTAAATGGATACAGTAGGGATAAAATCACCTAACAAATTGGTATTCTCAGATCAAATCTACTTTGGGAACTACTGCCTCTGATACATATGTAAGTAAACAGCAACATTTACACAGACGGTTATGGTTTCTTAGTCCAGCTATATTTGAAGATTTAAGTTCAAGTACCCTTTCAGAGAAGCTAAAAAATCATTCTAAACTACAAGTTGGGTTTAAGAAGTACCAATTTTAGTAGCTTGGATCTATTGTTCTGTGGAATGTGCTATATCTGGAAACGCCATTTGTAGGACATGAGGACATCTTTGAAAGTGATGTGACTGCCCAGTGCACAATAAATTAATCATCTGACCCTCTTTATGGAGAAGATATTGACCCCCGTACTGACAATGGTGCAAGTTTTGAATGTTGTAAAAGCAGAGGTGCCAAGCACAAGTACATGAGAGGCGAGACTGCGTACATTATTTTAAAAGCACTTTGAGTTTTTTATCTCTAGCTTCTCTGACAGTGATTTGTAAATTTCAAAATATTAAAGAGTAAAATATGCAGTTTGAGCCCAAAAACAGTTTTTATTTCTTTTGTGTACTTGAAATATTTGTTCAAACTAGAACCCTAGTTACAACATTCCATACAAAGCAGTCTTTCAAAACTTGGCAATCTGAACCTAAACTGCTCTGGGGCAGAAGTACCAAAACACGTTCTCTCCTTACAGGCCAAAGGGATACTGTATTCTGTGGGTTATTTAATGTACACTGAGAAAACCGGTACGTAAACTTTAAGACGAAAACTAAACATCGTCTATGCTTAAGTAATACAGGTATGAAAATTACATTTGCAATATAATTCTAGGTAGACTGCTCTGCCACCTACATCTTTGGCGATACATTCAAAGGTTTAGGGGGTCCTTTCACATTTGTGTAATTAACTTCATTTTTGATATTCCTTCATTGCTTTCTGTGCTTCCAATTAATCAGGTAAAATGTTCAATCAGTCTATATAGTATGAGAACAAAAACACTCTTAAATTTCATATATAAATCTGATGTAAGAAGAATACAAAGCAACTGAAGAATAGGACATGCCCTGCCTTACTTAGTATGCCTGAGATTATAGTTCTTTTCTACTCTGCACTCAAATTTGCTACAAATAGATTCCAAGCAGTCCTCTTCAGTAGCACAGTGCCACTCTGCACACTGAGATCTATAAACTAGATGCAGGTGAGAAAATTACTGCTTTTACCTGTATAGCCTGAAGGGTAAAATTTCAGAACATTGTATATTGTTTATTAATGTGACAAAGGCAGATCTCTAAGAGAGCTAAATGTGTATACTTGTAGGAATTCTATAGTATTGGGTCTAAATATTTTGGTATTCTGTGATGTACTTAATTACTGACCTGTGTGCAGCTGTTTCTGAGGCTGCCTTTCATGGAAGTCTGTCACACTTTCTCTTAGGTTGGGCTTTGGCAGAAATGCTACAGTTTCAAACTTGTTTTACCAAGGTCCAGAAATGGGTGTTTGCTCATAAAGTATAAAGATGTTATAACTGGCTGTGTGGAAATGAAAAATCACGTATAAAATGTCATAATATATGAGCTGAAAGAAACGTTTCTTTTAATTAGTAAAAGAAGTTAATGTTCACTCCAAAAAAAAAGTACTACTGTTATATATGATACCTGGTAACTCTGAAGTACCACATGCACACATTCACTTTCCCAAACCAAAGGGGACATTTTATTAAAATTATAGTCTCAGGAGTAATCCTCCAGTTAATCCCATAACTTTACCAGGCTTTGCATGCACAGGTAAAGAATCGTATGACAGGAAAATAGGAGTGTCAGCCACCCAGGATAGGCTTCTTAACTCGTATTTTATGTAAGATTGTAATGCAACTCTGTTGACTGTTTTCAGGCACAAGTTACTTTTGGAATTCATGTAAGAACGGAAACAGCATAAGGAATCGGTGCAGACATTAAACTTTTTTTTTCCTCCAAGACAGTTAGCACTTTTTAGAACTCAATCTGAGTAAGAACAAAACAAAATTTTCTTTTAAAAAGTCCATACAGCCAGGAGTGGTGGCGCACGCCTGTAATCCCAGCACTCGGGAGGCTGAGCAGGAGGATTGTTGCAAGTTCGAGACCAGCCTGGGCTACAAAGTGAGCTCAAGGCCAGTCTGAGCTGCATGGTGAGACCTGTCTCGAAAAGACCAAAAAAAAAAAAAAAAACCAAACAAACGAAACAAAGTCCATACTCTTCTCAGTAGCAGGTATTCCAAAGGAAGTATAAGATACAGTGATATAAATAAATCAATTTAAAGGATATCACAAAATAAGACTTAGTTCATCTAAGGGGCCCCTACACTGGGACCAATTCTGCTATAGATTGTTAAATCTCATTAAAAGGCTTAGGGATGGAGAGGTGTACACAGCCTTTAAAATTTCTACTTTTAATAGCCAGCTCTCAACAACTTTAGGGCTTCTTTACGTAACTTAGGAGTTCCTCTTTTTCCATTTGGTAACCACTTTTTTTCCACTGCTCACGCAGCTGTTGCAGCAGAGCCCCGATTTCCTTTCCTGAAGAAATCCCCACTTTCCTGATGTCGTGGCCACTCACAGGAAACGGGGGGATGGACCAGCACTCCATCTCCTTTAGAAGACAGTGCTCACCTTGGTACTTCAGTAGTTCACACACACGGCCAGTCATATCCGGTTCCCTAGACTAAGGACCAGACAGACATTTAGTTCCATCAAATATTAGAATACTCACAGTTCCATCCTGAAAGGGGAATGATAAATCCTGTGAAATTTTTCATTTAAAATAAGTAGAATTCAAACAACGAATTGCAGGTTTTTGTTGAAATGTTAACAAGTTCTGTCATATTCTGACAAAGCCAAGTACATACTTACATCTATAATGAAGTCTTGATAGGGTTTCAGTGGTTCTGAACTATCCGTTGCTTTAATTAAGTCTTTCCTATTTTTAACTATAAATAAGCCAAGGTTCTTCTCTTCCTTTGAAATCTTCAACCTCAAATCCAGTTTTGTGACATCATCCTGCACTTTGAGTAATGAGGCCAAAAGAGTCATTGGCTTTGATGAAAAACCATCAACATTTTTACTGACTTTATTAAATTCTTCTAAACTTGCATTAGCAGGTAAACCTGTGGGGATAAAAGCATCTTTTACAGAGGAAGAGAATACCTATACTAAAACCACCGATTGTTTTAGCATATAGAAATGCTCTGCAACTGGGGCTTTTAGCCCAGTCTGATTCTGTCTTCTCCATGGTCACTCTCATGGTCACTCTCAAAGCCCCAGAGGAGTTCTAAAATATTCCTGTATCCATTACCAAATTGTATCAGGAGATACACAGAAAATGGTGATGTCAGATTCACCAATGACACTTTTTATAATCCAACTCCTAACCATATTGATACATAATATTCAGTCCTATTATTCAATAATTATATCTTAGTTTGAAATATGTTCAAGTTGCCTGAAGTGTGAGAAACCATATAACCCAACTGTTCTTTGTGAATCTTAATCATACAGTTTTTACTGGTCCATTTCTATGTATAAGGCACTCTTCTCAGAAAAGAATTTTTACTAACTCAGACTCCTGTAGCCATTCTGTTAGATAGGTGCTGTTATCTTCAGTCTCCTATCAGAAACTAATCCAAGTCACAAAATTGTAAGTGGCACAGCCTTATCAAACCTCTTCTTCCAGAGGCCACTTTAAGCTGTTCCCCTCCCCATGACAAAGATGCCCTACCCTAACTCACCATGGAAGTTTTTAAAATAAATTCTTCACCTAGATGCCTCAAACATTTTTTATTGTGAAATTTTAAACTAGATGTTTCATTGCCAAATACTAAAACATTTTTATATTTTGTTCCTTACCTATGTAGGGAGCCACATCAAGATCATAGATAAGATGCATCAAGTGATTTACATGGTTACCAGTAAGAATTTTTTTCAGTTCCACCCAAATCCTCTCTCCTGATATTCCACCTAAGCCTTTTGCATTTTCTGCAATTGCTTCCAATGTCTCAGGATCATGGTCACCAGGTTTGTCTACAATTCTGCCATAAAATCTGTAAGACAAAAATCTTTTAAGTATATTGCCTCTATTTTGGCATACCACCAGAAGTCTATTTCTCATTTTTATTACTACCACCACATCTATCTATTTAATGGGAAAGAAAAGAGAATGTAAGGTCTAGGAAACACCTTAGAAATGATGTGGTAAACTCTCTACTACTTTTAGTTTTTTCCAGATGAGAAAACTCAAGATTTACTATTTAAGTAAACTTTTTAAGGTCAGCAAGAACTAGAACCTACCACACTATGACTTCATTTCCAGTCACTGACTGCAATGCTCTCAATGGCCATGAAATGCAATTCCTCAATTGGTACTTACCTAGATGTGCAACAGAGCATCTTTTAACAGCACCAAAACCAGACTTGAATATCCGAACTGAACAGTCTTAATTCCTCAGTTTGCCTATCTATACACATTAATAGCTTTACTTTAAATATGACAAATGAAGTTGTAAGCAGTGGAGTGTATTTCATAGAAAGTCACATTTGGTACCTCAGAGTATATCCATTCCACCACTCACGGCTCTAGAACTTCACTGGTGGTCCAAACTTAAATCTGAATAACTACAACTAAACTTGATCTATGTTCTGTTATTTGTAGGAAAGATTGTTTGCAAATGATTATTCAAGTTTAGAAAAACAGGATTTATTGACAAAAATCTGTTATGAAATATTCCTAGTCATACCAGTGAAAAACATGAACATTATTAGCCACAAACTAACCAGTTAGAATAGTTTCTTTTTTTCTTTAAAGAATTTGGAATTTAAAATACTGCTAAGGAAACAGCCAAAAGAAAAAAAAGTCAGTTTACAGAATGGGAGTAAATACTTACAAACGATCCATTTAATAAGGGGTTAATATCCAGAACATAAAAAGAAATTCCAGAAACTCAGCAGCAAAAACATAATCTAACTTTAATAATGACCAACAGCTCTAAGTAGACATTTCTCAAAAGAACATACATAGATGGCAAAAAAAACCATGGTCAATATCATTAGTTACTAGGGAAATTCAAGTCAAAACCACAGTGAGGTATGACCTGAAGCTAGTAAGAGTGGCTGTTACCAAAAAGACAAGAGATGCAGGTGCTACAGAAGCTGTAGGGAAATGAGAACTGCTTTACATTGTTGGTGGGCGTGTAAATTCCCAAAGCCATATGGAAACAGTATGGAGGTCTCAAACAGCTGAAAGCAGAACTGTCATGATCCAGCAACGCCACTGTGGATATACATCCAAAGGAAAACAGTCTGTTGAAGAGACTTCTGCACGCCTATTTTTATTGCAGCACTATTCACAATAACCAAGAAATGGAAATAAGATTTATTAAACTACTGAATGGACAAAGAAAATGGTAAACACAATGGAATACTATTCAGCCGTAAAAAAGTCCTGTCATTTTCAACAGCGTGAATAGAAATGGAGATCATTATTTTAAGTGAAATGAGCCAGGCATGGAAAAAAGTATTTAATGATCTCACGGAAAGGTGGAGGTGGGATCTATAAAAGCTGATCTGTAGAAGTTGAGAATAGAATGACGGTTACTAGAGGCAAGGGACAGTTGGGGGTGGGGGGTTTAATCAATGGATACTAAGTCAGGAGCAAGAAGCTCCAAAGTACTACTGTAGAGAATGGTGATTATATGAGAGAGAACAATAATGTATGTTCCAAAAAGCTACAAGGAGTCTGCATGTTTTCACCATAACGAAATAGTGTTTGAGGACACAGATGCTTAACCTGGTTTAAATGTTACAGTGCATCCATATACTGAAACATCATTATGGTGACACAGAAGTATGTACAAATTGTTTTATGTATCAAAAGATAAACATCTTAAATTCTTAAATAAAATCACTGCTACCTATAGAATCACTTATGCATTTCATACTTACCAATTTTATCCATGTTTGAAATATGTACTTTATTTTACTGGTCATTTAACAGGATTTTCTCCTCACTAATGTAATTTTGTAGTGAAATGCCAGAGATAATCGCATGACACCTGAGACTATGCACCATGTAAAGTAAAGACTATACACTGTGCTCAGTACACTTAGCACAGTGTTTGGTGTAGGATAAGCACACAAATGACATGCTCAATGAAAGAAAATATAATGTAGTAAAAAAAGGGCTTTTAAAAATCACTTAAAACTTTCCGGTAGAAAAGATCATATACAACAAGTATCTACGTTATGAAAATAAAGCGTGAAGTAGTATCTCGTGTTAGTCAAAAGCCACTAAGTCATCACTGGAAAGAGACACTTGAGAGCTCGCCATTTTAAATCGCTACCCCGCGACCCGCTGTGTATAGTACATGTACTGTGATACTAAAAATTTTAATTTTAAAATATCTTACCTGAAATATCTTAAAATTCGAAGATAATCTTCTTGTATTCTCTGTTTAGCATGTCCAACAAATCTAACTTTTTTATTTTTTAAATCTGCATAACCATTAAAGTAATCAAATAAGGTACCATCAAAACCTATACATTAGAAAAAGGGAACATTTAGCACATTTAATTTACAAAGTTAAAGCACAGATACTAATAGTATTCATACCTGTCACTACTAGAATAATAAACAGCTGTCTTTATAGTGGCCAACTACCGAAGACTAAACTAAAAAGAAATGTGCTACAACACACAGTATATGAAGTGGAGCAGGGACAATAAGACAGTAGACAAGCTGATTTTCATATTAATATAAAGAGAAAAAGAAAAATTACAAATCAAACTGCATTTAAAAACTCAAGTATGCTTGTTGACAAAAACCACCATCATGCAGAAAATCATAAGCTAAGTGCAATTCTAGGAAAAAGTGTAAGTTAGTATCAGAGACAAAGGGCTAATTTCCATCATAGGGCTCCTATAAACATCACATACACTCATGTGAAGTTTACTTTCACAGGCTAAAATATATAAAGACAATTCTTTTAAAGTGAAAATGTTCAGCTTTTGTCATAAGAAATAACAATGAAAACCCATTTTCCAGATTTCCCTCAGAATGTCAAATCCCCAAACATTTGATAACACTGTGGGCAAGGGTATAGTGAAGGAGGCACTCTTGTTCATCACAGTCAGGAGAGTTCATTGTACACCCTAGTACATTTGTGAATTCTAAACCACCACGAACCTGTTATTCACAAATGCTGCAAATAAAGTCTCCACATAATATGTTTGCTGTTGTTTAAAAAAAAAAAAAACTGGACAAAATAATTGCAGTGCATCATTTAAAAATCTTGGGTATTAGAATGAGTAATTCATCCTGATTGGGTGGCATTTGCCTAGTTCTGAAATTCACACCTCTTAGGTAAAACCTCTCTCCCAAGCCAACTGAGATAGCTGTCTCACAACATTCATCCAAGAAAAAGGAGAAGAAAAATGAAATGAAACACTGTCTCAAGAGCATTCATCCAAGTAAGTGATGTCAGTGGCCCCACTCTGTCATAAGGGACAGGAGGCACCATCACTACTTGTGAACAGTAACTGCTTGTCAGTTTAATTAAGGTTAAAGTTAAATGCTCTTTGATTATCCCAAAAGCAACAGTACTTGCAAACTCGAATGCTTTACTTCACCCAAGCTGTTCTGGTTCTGTACACAGGGAGACTGTTAAAGAGGGAACCATCTTGAAGCATATAGGAAGTTTAAAAGACTCCAGATTAAAACAAACAAACAAAAAAACAGAAAATGAAGATTCCCTCTCCAAAAAAAGAGCAAACAAAATGGTATGCCTGTCTTAGTGTTAGTTCTCTTAATGAAGGATGCCTGATTGCCCGTGGTGAGCCTGGAAAACCTAAGGTGTTTTTCTGTAAAGATCAAGACTTGGAGGAAAACAGGAATTTAACAAAGATGAAAATTTGGAGGAAAAAAATAGGAATATGACAAAAGCACAAACAGTAGCTTGGGATACAAACTAACCAATCGTAAGTGTCAGAACTATTGATGCTTGGTCTAATAGGGTTTGAAACAAACCCAGACGAAAAAAATATGAGCTAAAAGTAAGGATTAGTGACTATCATTGTGTTTATTAGAATGTATTTTGTTTTGCTCTGAGTATCGTTCTAAGATACAGTCAATGTGAAATAAAGTTGAGTTGCACGGAATAATGTCGTCGTGAAGAGCGTGACCGCTGGAGCCAGGCCAGTTCAGTTAGAAGCCTGATTCTACAGTTTATAAGCTGCATAACTCTGGGCAGGCTACTCTGTGTTAAACAGCAGTATCTGCTTTATAAGGTTGTTGAATAGACTAAATTTATGTACAGTGCTTAGAACAGTGCCCAGCACATTATAAGGGGTCAGCAAAGGTTAGAAAACTCGAGTACCAAGAACAGCTTTTGCCAGGTATGCTACCACACACCTGTAACCCTACTACTCAGAAGGCTGAAGTGGAAAGACTGTCACAAATTTGAGGCCAGCATGGGCTACATAGTTCAAGGCCAGCTTGAACTGCACAAGGACACCCTGTCTTATTTAAAAAAAAAAAAAAAAAAAAAAATTTATAAAATAGTATCTTGGAAAAGAATATTTTGAAAAATTTTAGTTTTTCTCTTTCAGTTGAGTATGTTTGCAGGAAGTTAGAAAAGACTATACTGTGTTAGTTGGAATACTTTATAAATAATGCAAGAAGAAATAAACATTGGGGCTTTCATTATATAACTGAGAGAAAATGTGCACCAACTGGGCTCCCTAAGATCATAAATTGCATAGGCTGTGGAAGTCCAGGCTTACATAATGGCTCTACAATCTGAGCTAAGCTACTTAATACCCACTTCATGAAGTTTTTCTGAGACTTAAATGAGATAAAAATACATTAGGTGCCTACTGATGCACCTAAAACCTAAGGTGCCCTAGATATGGTATTTGTTACTAATGTAATCAGCAGGAGATACCACCTTAGCCAGCAAGTGTCTTCCCTAGCCAATGAAGCAGATCTTAATGGGCTTACCTGAAATTTAAAGTACAGAAAAATAATATAGCAGTCATGCACCAAAACATTAATTTAGTTCACCTTTCATCACTATCATGAATTCAGAAACTCAGCTACCAAACAGGTTTCATCTTACATGGCCACTTGATTATTGACGTTTACTAAAATGCAATGCTAGGAAAGAATTTGAGACTGTGTGTAGGCTCAACAATAAAAAGGTGCTGAAGCTGTTCACCACTGTGTGACAGGACACCTAGAGAGGAAAGAGTGCGCGCATAAAAACAATGCCCAGGAGAGAAGACGACTGGGGGGGGGGCCACAAGTGTGTTACTTTCCTTATACTGTTTAGATTTACTTCCTAACAGGCTGAACTGTAAATCTGGCAGGCAATATGCGATTATAACCTCCCTTAATTCTCATAAGAAACTTACAAAGAAAACATCAACACCTTCATTTTACAGCCTCTGTGTAACACAGTTACTGTCTGAGGGATTTGGGCACCATTGTCTAAGAAATTAATACAAATTCCACTTGAAAGAAAGCAGTCTAATGGGCTGAATTAAAATATTATCTTGATATGTTACCTAGAAACATGGAATTTATAGTGAGATCTCTGCGTTCAGCATCTTTCTGCCAATCAGTCGTAAATTCTACTTCGGCGTGTCTTCCATCAGTGGTAACATCAATCCGTAGTGTAGTAATTTCAAAATTTTCTTCATGAAGCTACAATTACATAGTTTTTTCAAAAAAAAAAAAAAAATTAGCTTTTAGTGTCACTGGATGGATTGATAAAATTTTTCTTCATTAAGGTAGGTGCTATAAGCCCTGACAATGTTCTATCTTATGTCTAAAATTAACTATACACTGTACACATTGTTCACATACCTTGAAAGACACTCACAATATTCAAAGACAGGTCCAAAGGATGATTTACTTTTAAAAAGTTCCACCATGATTTAGAAGAATTTGACAAATAAACAGCAACTCTGACAAGTAGTGTTAGTGGAAAGCAGGAACTCTCAAAACTGTGTATTCGGGTCCTTCCACTGACCAGCAAGCTTGTGTCTGAAGCAGTTTCTAATAACTCCAGTTTGGAAAGAACTGAACATCAATTTAGGGAATATATGCCATTAAGGAAAGTTCTGATAGAGTAGTAAGTACAGGTAACAAATCCTGCAACTCCTTTACTAGTACTCACCAATGAAGTTAAAATGTTACATGTACTGTTACCTCGGGAGGAGAAACTGCTTCTAGCTGGGAAAGCTGAGGAACTTCATCACACAGTCACATATGAGCTGAGCCCTGAAAATAAATCTGAACATGCACATGGGGGAAAAAATTCCAAGTGAGAGGATGACCCAAAGGCACAGTGGAGAAAGACTGTATGGAAACGAGAATGCATAGCTAACAAGCAGCGTATTACTGATATTCAGCCAAAAGCTTTATGTGTCAAGCAAGAATTTGGATCTCTCCATTAGCAAGTAAAAGCCATGAATGATCACTACATGTCTACTGTACAAGTCTTCTCCATTTCATACATACTGTTCTCTAGATACACTGTCTCTTAGTTGCTTTCTCGTTGTTGAGACAGAATACCCAACACCCAAGGTTAAAGGGGGAAAGGTTTGTTTAGTTCAGTTTGTGGAGGTTTCAGTCCATAGGTGGCTTGCTCCAAGGCAGGGTGGCGCATGGCAGAGGGGCCACAGTTCATGGCAGTGCAAGACAGCAAAAGCAACAAGAGAGAGACACAAGCCTGTTTCTGTTTCTTATATTGTATCCCAGTCTACCAGGGTTAGGGCAGTGCTAGCTCAATCAGTGAACTGATCTAGCAATCACCCACCTTTAATCCCAGCAGTGCACTAAAAAGTCAAACACACACTTTATATTCAGCCACACCTCCAAAAACACCCAAAGACCACATTAGGCTTTGGGGGAATATCTAGACACAAACCATAACACAATCTATACTTATATGCTCAATATAGAACTGCAGAAACCAAGAATGTGACATACAAGTATTTATGAAATGAGATATAAAGAAAGGGCTTAAAATGGGAAAACAAAATCTTAGAAACAATCAGATCTCCCTCTACAGAATTCCCCCCCACAAACACACACTCACTCAGGCAGAAAACCAGGAATTAACTCTCTAAAAAGTAGCTTGACACTCAGGCACTATGATCTTGAGAATGAAACATCAGAAAGAATTAAGTGAAAATCAGCATGAACCCTATCTCTTCCCACTTGGTTTTCAAAATGCTAACAAGCAAGCTTATCCCCTGGCATAACACTGGGAAATTCTGGGACTTCTAATGAAAACTTGTAATTCTAATACTGGGAGTCTCACAACTTCCTACCTGACACTTCTACGAACAACTACAATAAAGCCCTCAGGTCATTTTCCCAACATTTTACAGCACCACCAAAATACAGTGAGAGCCAAAGAATACCTCCATTTAAGGAAAACTAATATGGAAGACAAGAAGCTCAAAAGAAACGAAGACTTTGGCAAAAGGATAATAATAAATAGCCTAAGGAAGATAAAAGAAGTTACTGCATCTGGAAAAGCTTTATAATAGTCATGTGCCACATAAGGACATTTTAGTCATCAACAGAGAGTGTACTGACAGTGATCCCATGGATCATAATGGAGCTGAAAAGTTCTTGTCACCTGCTGACACTGATGTCACAGTACCATGGTCATCACAACACAGTGTGCTGCACCGCTCATGTTTGTGGAGGCAGCACTATAAGTAAAGGTATGGTACTGCCAGTCATATAGCAGTATATGTACACAAGTAAGTATTACACAGTACATGCTTAACAATTATAATAAGCGGCTGTTAATGGTTTACTTCTTTACATTACAGTTTTTATGATTGCAGTGTACCACTTTGACCTACAGGCCCTTCAGGAGGAATTCCAGAACAATACGCCCTTGCCCTTGCAAACCTTATAGAAGGACAAGAAGCAGAGGTGGAACACAGTGACAATCCTAAGTCTTCGGAGGCTTACACTAATGTGTGTGTGTGTCCCTTAGTGTCTAACAAAAAGAAGTTTAAAAGGAAAAAAATGTTTAATAAAAACTTGCAGAATCAGCAGATAAAGAATTTTTGTACAGTTGTACCATGTGTTTTACAATGTGTATTATCAGGCGTCAAGTTGTTGAAACTTTAGAAAATTTAACAGAACTGCCTCGCAACACATTCCTCAGAATATAACACTGACATTTTCAAGATCTACTGAAAATTTAAAAAGGACAAAATAATTGCAAATAGAACAGTCGGGAAAGCAAGACATTTTCATGGAAAGTGAAGTAAAAGACATAAGGACAGAAAGTAAAAAAAAAAAAAAAAAAACTAGATCAGCCCCCTAGCTCAACATCCAAGTAATAGGAGTCTCCAAAGAAAGACATTTTAATCAAAGAGATGGAATTATAAGGGAAATATTAGAGGGTCATTTCAGAGCCTGATGCAATAAATGAAAAAATAAGTCCAACCATGACAAATCACCTTGAAATTAAGAACAACAGACAGAAAGATGAGAAAATTTTCAAAAGGAAAAAACAACCAAGTTTCAAACAAAGGAGAAAAAGAAATAGGAAGCTGCTTTTCCAGCACCAGAAGTAGCCTTGGGAGCTAGAAAACAAAATTTCTAGTGAAAATTATTGCCAGCCTAAAATTCAGTAGTCACCAAAATTATCAAACCACTGTGAAGGTAAAATAATATTTTCATATGTGTGAAACTTCCTTAGGTTTGCAATACTTAAAGGAGAGCATAAACGAAGTAAGACCACCACACAGATCCAGGAAACACAAGGAATAACAGAGGTCAAGGAAAGTGCTAGAAAGTCTGTGTTGGAGCAGGAAGACAAAACCCGGTGAAATGTGCCCTATCCCCAAACCACAAACTTGATGTGTTTATGTGATCAGATACTTTGAGAGGAACTTTATAGTTCTGGTACCAAGTGCAGGAATAAATGAGTGGTAGGTGCAAAGCTATGTCAGAGAGTAATACTATTACCAGGAGAACAAATAACATGCAACAGAAAGAATGTAATCATAATCATAACCCAGATTGCAGCTATAAACAAGTCATAAGCAAACCCTGAATATTGATTTGCCCAAAAATTATCATATAAATAAGCTTGAAAGATAGGGAAAGGAGAAATGCTAAGTAGTTGGTTTTAAGAAGGGGTGTGGTAAGAAATCTAAATCATCTTCCCACACAGGAAGTCAGTAGAAAACACATTAAAACGAGAAAATTGAAAACCAAAACCATAGCATACAACAGTGATTTTTTTTCTTTTCTTAGAAACTGGAGGTAAGGGAGAACTATGAAACTTAAAAGTAGCACCACAACATGGAAGGATGCAGGACTTGTAGAGGTCATTGACTTATTAGGCTTTTTGTCATTTGCTTTTTTAACCAGAAAGCATACTAAATGTTTAAGAATTATATACATGAGAATGCAGTGAACTAATACCACCTTTTACTCACCCTGGCAGTAACTGTTCCATGCTTTTCTCCTCTGTTGTTTATCATCCGAATCCCGGCTGCCTGAAACATCTCCTTCATTTGGGCCGGGGTGGCAGTAGTAGCAAAGTCCACATCTTGAGGCTTTACCCCATTTAATAAATCCCTCACTGCTCCTCCTGCTATTCTTAATTCATGATTCTCTTTGACGAATAATTCTGGAGTGAAATAAAGACTATTTCAAAGTGTGTCTTTTTAATAAATCTTACCATGCACGGTTTACCATACATTACAGAGAGTACAGGTTATTTAACTGTGCTTTTTCTGAGAGAAAAACTGGGTTCTTATGAAAATAAGAACAAGACCCAAGCTGTGAAATAATAGCTTTTTTATAATGCCTCAAAGATGTATGGGAAGCAGAAAACTTGCAGAATTTTTCTTTGCTCCTTCAGAACATAATTCAGAACTCACAAAGCTTCCACGTCATCAACATAAATTGGAATCATTACCAAACAGGTAAGGCAAAGAGTTTTGCTTTCTTTTCTGCAGTTTATGTACATACTTTAGAAATGGTTAAGTATTCTTGTATTTTTCTTTGTGAAAAAAATGTATAAGCAGTATGTTCATACATGAAACTATAAAACTATCAGACATCTATCTGTCATACCACTTATGAGAAATGTTACAACTAAGAATCCTTCAGGGCTGGGGATTTAGCTCAGCAGCAAAGTGCCTGCCTGGCAAGCACAAGGTCATGAGTTCGATTCCTGGTACCAGAAGAAAAACAACAACAACAACAAAAAACACTAAAAATCCTTCAAAAATTACCAGCATATATTATTTGAGACCAAATCCTACCTGTGTTCTAAGTAGAACCATAGGAACACTCCAATGGCTGTAAGGAACTACATCATTGACTCTTCTATAATACAGGAAAAACAAAAACAATGCCACTGTAACTGTACCATCTGAACAAACACCACCATGTGGGACCTGATGAGAATGACATCCAGAACTAGCCTGCTACTACAGGTTAAGCCTTGATGCTGCTGTGAGCTGATGTACCACTCACAGCAAGGCTGTGGTGTTCTATGGACGTGAACAGTTTCACACATCAGTATCAGACAAAACAAGACAACTGTATAATCATGTGAACAGAGACAAAACCTGAACACTCTGCCAGACACATGCTATAATACATAATAGTTAATGAGAGTGACTGCTCCTTATTTACTAATTAGTTTTAGTCTTGCCCTGTGACCTTAAATTCTAGGAAAAAAATGACAAACCCAAAGAATTAATTTTGCTTCCTACAACCATTTAATCCACTCTAAAGCCCTCCACCTTACTCTCCAAAGCAACCTAATACAAGCCAAAATCTTCTAAGAGGTCTTCTCAAAAACTCTTATTGAGCTGCCCCAGGAGACTCCATGGTCCGCATTCTCACTCCCTGCAAAGAGTAGCAACCAACTTGATGTGTCCCCACTGGCGTCTGGATGGAAGTCACTCAAATGAGCAGAGTAAAATGCCAAACTCATTGTCCATCAGAGCTCTAGCATCCGAAATCCCAACTCAAAATGTAATCCTCTGCCCCCTCCCAACTTCGTTTGCTTTTATCCCCATACTCCTTTTCACCTGTTCTTCCCAAACCATTTAGGCCTCTCTCTGCAGATTCCCCAAGAGGGCTTGCTTAAACAAGGGCTCCCTCCCTCTGCCTTGTCTTAACTAAAAGCAAGCTCTTCCACAAGACATAACTTCCTGTAAACTCTCTAAGTGAGTATCTCACTGATATTCCCTTAATGCCACATTTCCAATCAAGTCCCACTAACCATCTTACTACATGGCCTTACATATAAGGTCCATGATCCTTCCACATAAAAGTAAAAATCATGGGTATCAGCTCACGGCTCTCTTATGGAGAAGTCCACGGCCCAAACACTTGAAGACTGCCAAAAATGGACTCTATCTCTATCTCCCACTTGTCTAGGTTCCCTAATCTCCCATGCCTGTACTGACACAATAGTCTCGCCAGAAAGTCCTCATTCCTGTCCATGTTTCCAGGGCCATAGTTTATATACTCTCCACTACCCTCAGTCTTATCTGGACGCAGATGCCAACTCCTCTTCCTATCTACTCACGTCACAATACTCAAAATTCTCTGCACAACACACAGCTTCCACACTCATCTCTCACTGCACCTTGCCTCATGCTTTACCTGAACCGAACTCTGGCCATGGTGGTTTCCCTTATGTGAGTCACTTCGCTGAAACACTTTCCCGACTTAATCATCTAGCACACTGACTCACTGTCGAACTTCTGATCCGTGACACTAAAACATTTCTCACAGAATTTACCAATTCTCATGTGTCTGTGGCAGAGTGTCATGAAATCTTACCTTTCCTACATACCATGAAATCTATTTTACCCTATTTTCTATTCCTCTCACTTTTTGAAGAATGTTGGTCATGACCTCTAAACTGAGTCCATTAATGATGGATCATCATCCAGCTAGAAAAACACTGATCAAGTTCAGTCTTACCTATCTGTCGTGATTAAGTTCAGGATACCACTCCTGAAGGGGAAGTAAATTTCTTTTACGCTAAAAACAACACATCTTTACACATACCTATTATGTTCAAATTATGTCTTTGTCTCCCCACTTGTCAGAGGAGAAAAACCCACCATTCATTTTTATACCAACCTGACTCACACTGGAACTGAACTGTCATATCCTAGCTATTAAAAAGAATGGCTTCATTGAAAAACTGTATGTTTTAAAAAATCTTTGTTCTTTAAAATACTATCTAATAACCTCTTACAGAACAACAACAACAAAAACAAACCAGGAAGTCAAGGCTAAATTTATAAAGAACCAGTGTGTTTAAGATTCTCATTCTTGGGGCTGGGGATTTAGCTCAGTGGCAAAAGCGCCTGCCTGGCAAGCGCAAGGTCGTGAGTTCGGTTCCCGGTACTGGAGAAAAACCAAAAAAAAAAAAAAAAAGATTCTCATTCTGCCTCACAACAATAAAATCGGTATGTTCAAAGTCTCTCAATAAATTAATCACGTTTCAGATATACAATTCAGAGCTGGGTGTGGTGGCACACACCTATAATGCCAGCATTCAGGAGGCTGAAGTAGGAGGATCATTGGGAGTTCGAGACCAGCTGAGGCTACAAAGTGAGTTCAAGACCAAGCCTGAACTGCATAGCGAGACCCTAGCTCAAAAAGACAAAAAAAAAAATTCAAACTAATTTATTTATCATTTTGACTGGCATTTGGGACAGCGGGAACAACTGAATTGCAAAAAACTTACAATTTCCAAAAAACTTACAATTCAGGATTTTAAAAATTATACTTGTAAACCAGGCACAGTGGTGCACACCTGTAATCCCAGCACCCATGAGGCTGAAGCAGGAGGATCAGAGTGAGTTTGAGGCCAGCTGGGCTACACAGTGATTTCAAGAGCAGCCTGAACGCCTTAGTGAGCCCCTGTTTCAAAAATAATAATTTTTTAAATTATACTTAAATATAATTGAGAAAGGCCTACAAGGGTATATTTATGTGGAATAAGTCACAAAAAATTACAAGGTATGATTTTATATTGACCTAAACAGTAGGGACTATGGAAGAGTTCTTTATTCCTCAATTAATGGTATCACCCATCTTACAGAAACAGGGATGTGTTCACTGCAAACTACACGCATACTTGTGAAAACACCACCAAACGAATAAAAAGTGATTGTAAATTTACACTTACAACTCAAGAAATGCAAAATGTCACCATTCCAGAACCATTTCTGCTCACTCTAACAGCCACATCTAACAGTAACTCTGGGGAGTTATTCTTGTTATCAATTCAAAAGACCACGCATTGTGTGAGAAAATTTTTATAATTCCCGCCTATTTTAAAAAACTTTTCAATCAAATCTTCACGAACTCCTCTTTACAATTCTGAATTCTGAGTGTGGTGGTAGGAGTGGGACGGGGAATGGCAAGCAGGAGCTACAAGTGGGCAGACTGTTATATGGCATGATGATTACTACCAAAAAGCAGACGACTGCTCCAAGGACTTCCAAACCTCAAGAGAATTCAGTTGTTCCCACCGTCCCACATGCCAGTATGATGACCACCGAGCACTATCACCCAGCAACGACTTGATCACGTGGCCACAGCCAAGTAACCGAAAGTGTCCTGGCTGCTAACTCGAGCAGTATGTTGGAACCCCAGCTGCATCTATAGAATGCACAAATAATCACATATGCTACTAGAATTATGTGGTTGTTCTGAATCAGAAGGAGAAATGGAATGAAATCTTTAAGAAAACCTGACAATTTATAAAACCCTCGCTAGACATCATACCACACACCTATAATCCCAGCACTCTGGGAAGCTGAGGCAGGAGGATGGTAAGTTCAAGCCCAGCCTGGGCAACTGAGCAAAACCCTGTCTCAAAATTCAAAACTTAAAAAAAAAAAGGCTGGGGTTTAGCTCATTCTTTAGGTCCTAGCTCTGATCTCCAATACTTTCAAAAATAAAAACACACTATATCATGTGACCATAATACACTGTCCTAGCCTCCCCAATTCTTGCAACTGAAAAGTAATTCTACATATGGCAAAGCAGCTATTAAGATCTGAGAACTGTTACAACAGGATTTAAACTGCATGTGTCACCATACTTTAGCCACCAAGACTGTGTGTTTTCATGCATTTTGTTTACTTACAGATCATCACATTTTACCAGGGAACTCAGGTCTTTACACCATAATAGAGAGGAAATAGGACAATTATTTCATTTTCTAATTGTGCGCAATGCACTACAAGATCCCATTCTTCCCCCTTCTACTATACCCTAGAAAGGGTGAACTTTAGAATATGCCCACATTCTCATTTGCTAATCTTTCAAGGACAGCAACCACAACACCTGGGTTATCATACTACTTTGGTCCTCACTTTTTCAGGATTCCATTTCTCAGAGTGGATAAAATTCAGCTTTTAAACTCTGGTTTAGTAAGTCAAATGCAACTGTTAAAGAATGTTCAAACCCAGTATGCTAATCCAGGCCTATATAATCCCAGCACGCTCGGAGGTTTAGGCAGGAAGATCACAAATTCAAGCCCACTCTTGCCAACTTAGTGACTTAGCATGGTCTGGTCTCAAAATACAAACAAAAAAAGGGATAGAGATGTAGATCAGTGTGAAGGCCCTGTTCAATCCCCAGTGCCGCCACAAAAAAAAAAATTTAAGAAACTACACATCAATATCTAAAACCTTGTTTCCAAAAAATGCAGGATTATCGAGATAAATCACCAAGAGTTATTTACTCTTTCTTCCAAGAGAATGAGAAAACGGGATGCTGAGAAAGGCGTATCAAGAAAAAGTTCAATCAGCCCAATGCTGGAGCTTCAGATCTATAATGCTGAAATAGTAGATAATGGCCATAAATCGTTACTGGGCATTTGGAACGCTGTGAATCTGAATTGAGATGTGCTATATGTGTTAAATATATGCTAGATTTGAAAGCTTGACTAGAATATAAAATAGCTCAATAATGTTCGCACAAATTTCACATTAAAATATTACCTTAGTTACAGTGGATTAAATACAATGTACTGAAAATATTTCTTAAAATGAATTTCACCCATTTCCTTTTTTCTTTCAGTGCAGTTAGTTTATATTACATGGGGTCTTACACATTTCTATTGGACAGTGAGTTTGTAGCAGTTTTCACTCCAATTAAATTACAGTGAAGCCAACAGCACAACCAAACTTGCATTTAAGCCCTCTAGCCTGGCATGGTGGTACACACCTATAATCCCAGGCTGAGGATGGACACAAGTTCGAGGCCAGCCTGAGCTATAAACATAGTGAGTTCCAGACTCTGTTAAAAAAATAAAACCAAAAACAAAAAAAAAACCCCGCTAACTCAAAACCACCTGAAGAACTTTAAAAAAATTCAACAGGTTATCTACCATTTACCTCTGATACGAACAGAAAAAGTCATCGTCTAATTCAAGAATATGAAAAAAGCCTTGTGAATAATATAAGAATATTAGAGCAATGTTTCCTCTATCTTCTATTCATTAGAATTAATCTGCAGTGTTTTTATGAAACCCGTAGGTGCTTATCCTTCCCCGAGATTTCAGCTCAGTGGGTTAGGGATAGAATTTCAGTATCTGTACTTTTTAAAAGCACCCCAAGTGGACCTCAGGGACAGCCAGTGCTGCAAAGCACTACTCAGGTCACTTGTACGTATGTACAGTTGCAAGTATTTCTAAAAGCACCACTGAAGCACCTATAGGCTTTGGGCAGTGCAGCTGTAAACACCCTTCAACATCAGAAGCTGCGTTTAAGGACCAGTATGACTAGAACTGTGGCAACAGCAGGTGGAACCTGCTATAATCAGACACTCAGCGATAGCCATTTACTGTGTTCCTCCCCACAGACTTTACATGTGCACAGATGAAGGCAATTCCCGGTTCCTTTTGCCTTCAGTTCTCTCAGAAAGCAATTAAACACGGGAAAGAGAGTGTCAATGTTTACAAACTGAATTCTAAGAAACTACACAAGATTAAAAGCTAACATTGGTTATAAGCTATGGAAACGCGAAGTATTTCACATTCCTAAGCATCTGTTTCCTCCTCCACAGTAAGAGACAGGGTACTTACTCATTAGAACTAATCCCACAGCGTGTGATCTAAGAACACCTAACACTACAGCACACAAAAAAAGCCACGCTTTTCACTGAAGTTAACTTCTTTCTCCCTGAATGACTTAGCCACGAGTAAGCCCTTTTTTTAATAGGACAACAAAAATATCTGGATAGAGGCTGAAAAAATAAACTCTGTGTTCTTCCCTCACACACTGCCTTCCAAAGCATGGAAATGCATCCTACTCTCTCACCTGCCAGACTCTTCAATCCTTCCGTGAAAAGTGACTGGAACTCTGGAGACTGCAACTTCATTGTAAATAGATAACGCTTCAGAAGACAGACCCTGCTCCAACTACAGCTCAGTAACAGCCTGTGCCAAGGATACAGGTGCCTCAGCATCTGGAAAAAGTCACCACTGATCTGCAAGGCAAACAGGGAGGCACCGCAATGAAACTTACAACGAAGGAAAATAAGCGCTACTTCGTCTATCAACCAGAAGAAACCTATCCCCCATCCAGAGGAAAAAGTGAAACATGACTTTGTGAAGGGACATTGAAAATGTGCGTGCAGCCACCCAGTTCTGTACTTGGGCACAGTTATACTTACATACCACATTTTACTGTTTTAATACTGTCCTGGGAAGTGGGCATCAAAGCAGGAAGGGAACAGCCCTGTGAGTTTTCTTCCAGAAAGCTAACTGGACGATGTGCAGGACCATTTGTCCTCCTCCATAACATGTCACAGTCACATGTGGGTATCACCCTACTTCCCCATCTGCACCTGAACTTCACAACTCAGGATCAGCTCCCCAGAATGCGGGGCACTTCTTACGACTGGGCACTGCTGTCTGCATTTGCTCATCATTTTCCTCGCACGGTGCCATCTGAGTCCATCACACCCTAGTCCTCCCCACCAAGTGCAGAGGCAGCGGTTGTCTTGTGACCCTATGTAAACTAATGGAGAAGAACCACTCCATCCTTTGGGAAGCAGCGTGCAGGAGCGGCATTTCCATAGGACTAGTTTCCTCGCCCACGCCACGTGGGGAAGAAACTGAGTCCCCGTCCTTCCATTTCTGCCTCAACTCAAAAAGGCGGGCTCCGACCCTCGGCCTTGAAAGACCCTGTCTGCGGCCCACAGCCTCGGCAGAACTGTTCTGTTAGCAAAACCCCCGGGGGGCCCGGCTCGAGGCGGGCAAAGGGCTCCCGAAGCCAAGAGACTCAGCGATCGCGGCCAGCTGGGATGGGGGCCGCGACCGCCACGCTGAGGCCCCTCAGCCCACTGCCGAGGCCGCCTATGGCCGTACCTCGCTCCCACCTCCCCCCAAGACCCCCGCCCGAGGCCCTGCGGGGTGGTAGGGAGCTCAGCTGTCTCCACGCAGAGTGCTTACCCGCCCCGCGCGGCTTCGCCTGGCCGCCAAACGCACTTCCGGAGTGGCGGGCGCGTGACGTCACCACGCTGTAAGGTTGTCAGCGAATGGGAAGTCACAGCAGGATGTGGGCGGGGCCCGCCGGGGCCGCCCGCCCCCTGGCACGCCCCACCTCCCCGGAGCCTGGGCGGAAAGGCGGAGCTTCTCTCACCTGCTCCGTGGTGCGATCAGAGTGCGGTTCTCCTGGGGGTTTAGCAAGTACGTTACTCGTAAAGTACGGGACGGCTTCGAAACCTGGGCTAGTGTGTTCAGGAAACTCACTGTAGGCCGAAGCCGTCTGATCCCTTGAAATTACTGGGTATAGGTTATTTTGCAACTTGTGTGTAACCTGTGGTTTCTGTGATGTGGAGACTTCGCAAATGCACTAGAAAGAATGTGGTTTTGGTTTTTTCTCCGGTACCGGGAACTGAACTCACGACCTTGCACTTGCCAGGCAGGCGCTTTGCCGCTGAGCTAAATCCCCAGCCCCAAGAATGTGGTTTTGATTCAGTCCTTTCACAGAAAGCAGTGGAGAGGGTGGCAAAAACATGGATGTGCAGATGTTAGAAACCTTAAAATATGAAACGTATGGTCCTTTAAATGTAACTTTAAATTACTTAACTTTGCCTAGAATTTGCCTAGAAAAATGTGTGTGCTATAGTATTTCTGTGGCTTATTACCAGAAATCTTATCTGCAGGGTGGATTGAGTTTATTTTAGAAGCACCGAACTAGCTTTCCAAGTTCACATTCAGGCAGAGCAGTGATTCAGTCCAACGCCTTAAGCAGGGAAAGCCTCAGATCCCTCTTAGCTTTCTCTGGTTTCGCTCTGCCGCCCGTTTGGTACATACTGGACAATTGTATGCCAGTATGCCAACAGAGATGAAATAGGCAGTTCTATAAAAAAGATATCTCCGAACGAAATGGTGTAAAAATCTCAATAGTGCTTTTCTTTTTAAATTGAATTTTGTACAACCAGCTTCCCACAAAGATAATTCCAGGCCCAGATGGTTTCAGTGGAAAAATTTATCAAACACAAAAGCGTGTGCCACCACGCCCGGCAAAAGTAAGAAATAACACTGAGTTTGCACAAAACTGTTTGTAACATATAAAAAGAAACACTTCTCTCATTTTAGGAGAAAAGCATAACCCTAATAGCAAACATAAATATTTTTTAATTTGTAAACTAATATCCCATATCAACATAGAATCAAAACCAAATATTAGCAAATTTACTCCAATGATAGAAGTCATCGTTATCAATTTGAGGCAAAGACCAATCACTGTAATTCATCATATGAACAGACTAAAGCTGGTGATCATCCCAACACATGCTGAAAGAGTATTTAAAATATGACATCCATTATTATAAAAACTCAAAATTTAGAAGGGGTTTCTTCAGAAGTATAAAGAGCACCTGTGAAAAAGCTACAGCTAATATCACACTTAACAGTAAAAATTTTGACCACATTTCCTCTAGTATGAGGAACAAGGCGAGGATGCCCAGTCTCAACGTGACTTTAGTTTACCACCATTAACATAAAGCAAGAAAAAGAACGTGTAATAATGTGGAAGAAAGTAAATCTTCTCTTCAGATGATATAATGGTTTACACAGAAGTCAGAGAAAATACACCAATTACTATAACTAGTAAGTTTAGCGAGATCTTGATACACAAAGATAATATATAAAAAGCAACTCTATTTTTATATACTAGCAAAGATAGTATAAACTTACATATTTTATATGTATAAAAATAGGTCAGGAAAAATACATAGGAATAAATAATGAGAAGATAGTTGGCAAGCAGGCATATGTAATGATATTAAATATCACCAATCACTAAGGAAATACAAATTAATACCTTAATGACATACCATTACAGATCGACTAGAATGCTTAACACTGAAAAACCTGGCAATACCAAGTACTTGATGAGGGAGTACGGCAAGTGGCAGTCTCATACACTGCTGGGAGGACTACAAACGTGGGGTATAGTCACTTTGGAAAGCATTTTGTGCTTTCACATAATGGGTAAGCATATTAGTGTATGTTCCTGAAAGGGAATACTACTTGACAATGAGAAAAGAACAAAATAATGATACATACAACACATCTGACTCTCAAGTGATGAAATCCAATCAAGAGGCTACAAAAAATATAATTCCATGTATATGAGATCAGAAAAAGGCAAACTACAGAGACATTAAAACAGATCAGTTCTTACCAGGGACAGGAGATGGAAGAAGTCCACTACAAAGAAGCGTGGGAGAATTTGGAAATGGGAGCAGGGGTGGAGGGGTAGGGGTGGTGACAGAATTGTTCTGTAGCTGCTTTGTGTGGTGACTACACAACTGTGTGTTTTTGTCACGATACAGCAGCCCACTAAAGAGGGTAAACTTCTGGTATGAGATTATACCTCAAAATAACCCAACACAAAAATAGTTTTTTATAGTACCTGAAATCAATAACAATATGAAATTTTTAAAAATCCACTTTAAAAGGCTCTCAAGAAATTCTTAAATTAACTCAATTATTAAAGTACGTACATGTGAAAGCAAGAGGAGTACCAGCAAACCCACTGAAGAGGAAAAAGCTACAGCTAAGGTCACATGCCAAGACCCCTGAGGGAATATCCTCCCGCCGCAGGATTTTGGGATCCACAGGTTCTCTTCTCCACAAAAAGTGCTCTTTGTGAATACAAACCAGTCCTAAGGGAAATAAAACTTCACTTGCAAAGGGGCCGACATTTTTCAATAGAAATCTCACCAGACATATTCTTTTGGGGTATGTACAGTGTACTCAAGAGTAATCATAGGCAAGGAATATGTTTGTTTGTTCGTTTGTCTTGAGACAGGGTCTTGCTATGTAGTTCAGGCTGGCCTTGAACTATCTATGTAGCCAAGGCTGCCTGGAACTCACAACGATCCTCCTTCCTCAGCCTTCTAAGTGCTCAGATTACAGCAATGTGCCACTATGTCCAGAAAAGAATGCTTTAGTTGGGCAAGTTCGTGACATTCAATAGAATTAATTAGTCATTAATACTCTTTTTCAGCTAAAAGTCAACATAATATTGAGAGAAATTGACAAAAGTGAGATAAAAAATTTAGAAGATGTATTAGTTTATATTAGATAATACCAGCTTTAAATCTTACTAAATGCTTATTTGAATGTACTTCAGTGTTACGGATTTCTTCAGAGTTCTCATCTTTCTTCAGCATAGATCGAATCTTAGCCCTTGGTCTCTATACATCTAGTTTGCAAATGTGGCTCCCCCCTACAATGTTCATCTCAGCTTTGGTTGTGTTTCTGTGAAATTAATTCATTTCTGCACACTGGAAAGAAAAGCAGTGGTGCATGTGGAGCACCGGTGACTGCAGCGCTGCTTCCATCCGTCCATGTTTCTTCGGGGCTAAAACTATTTGAATGGCACTGGTAGCACAGCAATAATACAGTTATGTAACAATTTATATTGTGTTTAGGACAGTACCAGGCAGTGTATCCATAATAATTTGATTAATCTTAAACACCCTGAGAGGTATTTTATAGAAGATGATACTAAGGACTAGAGAGGTTTCTTTAAGGTCAAACAAAGATTTAATGGTGCAAACAGACTATACCTCCAGGCAGTCAGACTCAAAATTACTACTGAACACAGATAAAGCTGGAGACACCCCAGGGCCCAGATCAGGCAGGGCTGGACACTTCACATTATGACAGCTGGATTTCATTTTAACTGTAATAAGACATTAAAGGTTTTTTAAAGCCACAGCTTTCTTAAATCTATTTGTGTTTATCAAGACTGAGTGCCTGGAGGAGGTAGGGTGGAGAACTGGTCACAAGCCTGGGGCAGCTGTCTATGACGGTGGTCAGGGTGTGGCACCAGAGGGGAATAGAGGTGACAGAGACCAAGTGAAATGAAGCAGAGGGGAGATAGAGTGGAAAGAGGAAATCACAGGCAACCCCTGTATTAGTTTCCTATGCCTGCTATAACAAATGGCCACACACATAAAGGCTTAAAACCATGTAAATGTATTACAGTAGCTCACCGTTCTGGAGGTCAGGACTGTCCTGGGCCCATGGGCAAGGTTCCTCCTGGAAGCACTTAAGAGAATCCCTTTATCTTTTCCAGGTTTGAAAGGTTCCGTTTATCCTTCCTTAAAGCTAGTAGCATAACATCTTCTGCTCTCTGTGATTCTTCTTGCCACCCTCTTACAAGGATCTTGGTGCCAACATCTAGATTGGATACTCCAGCAAAATCTTCCCACGTCAAGATTCTCACCTTACTCACATCCCCTATGTAAGGCAAATGGTCCCAGGTCCTGAGAGTTAGTACTTGGGTATGTATGTGGGCCCCTTATTCTGCCCACAAACCCTCCAAGTGCTTGCTATAGTAATTAGGTGGATGGGAAGACAGAAGAACAAGGAAGGAAATTGTGTTACCAAATAATTAGAACATTAGCTGTATCAGCTTCAATACTGAGGACATTCTCTACTTTTCACCCTTTTTGGGTTTAGACAAATGGTTTGATTTCAGGTCAAGACACATGGCTGGAGAGAGGGAGCCTGCCCCGTGCAGTAGCAGGGCGATTGGTCTCTGATCTGAGTTCTCAATTTTTGCCTACCAGCAACCCAGAACCCCTTCAGCCTTAGCCTCTTTCATTTATCAGGCTTCCTGGAAGCATTTGCACTTTAAAATAGGCCAGAGAAGAGAGAACAATGCCTCCATAAACATATGAATAAATGATTATAGCATTTTAGTCCCATTGAGCAAGATGCTTGTGGCAATATTTAGATAAATCAGATAAAACATAATTATGACCTAATTTTACTATTCTGCAATTTAGGAGTTCTGTTGGTTGCCTCCTCTCCCCCTTGTTCACCCCCACTTTTTCTGTGTAAATGACACAAAGTAATTTGCTGAGAAGAACAAGTTGTTTCAGGAATGTATTTCTTTCTTTGAAACAACAAAAAGTACCTGTTTGAAGAAAAAGTCATTCACTACTTTTGTTCTCATAAAAGTTTAATAGAAGCCAACTAAAGTTTAAGATCTCCCAGAGGACAAATAAAGATATTTCTCAGCAAATTTAGAGTCACAATTTTCATTGGTGCTGGGGGATTTTACACACACATGCAATTTTATTTTACATTTAAAAGAGGTAAGTAAATAGACGAATCAATTTTAGCTGCTCTAAAATTTCATACTGGGTCATTAATTTTCA